GCCCGGGGGACACAGGGACAAGGGGTCACAACTGGAAGCTGAAGACTCAGACGAGTCACAGGGACGTTAGGAAGTATTTCTTCAGTCATAGAGTTGTCAGCAAGTGGAATAGCCTAGCAAGTGAAGTAGTGGAGGCAGGAACCATACATAGTTTTAAGAAGAGGTATGACAAAGCTCAGGAAGCAGAGAGAGAGAGGATCCAGTAGCGATCAGTGAAGAGGCGGGGCCAGGAGCTGAGTCTCGACCCCTGCACCCACAATTAGGTGAGTACACACACACACACACACACATGCACATATATGGTAATGCTTTATTTACAGCTAGCAAAGTCAGGGTATTTCTCCAGAATGGTCTGTAATATACCACTGTGGATCCTTGGTGTAGTAGATAGTCTTTTTAGTATGATAATAAGATGTTATCTTCATTGTAGAATAATAAGAAAATATTATAACCTTTATATTAATAATAAGGTAAAAAGGACCCTAATGGAAATAAGTCACTCTGTCTGACTTTTTTGGGTTATCCTAGGTTCTCTACATATATGCTGCTATGTATGATAATTCTATGTAACTGTATTTGTGTAAACCTGAATAAACTTACTTACTTACTTACACTCCCTCTGATAATATAAAGTGCCTGTATTGGTGTATGCAGAGGTGTTTGCTGAGGGAGTAAGAGGTCTGGCTCTATAGGTGTTTAAGCCTGGGATCCACCTGGCCCAAGATGAGACTCTAATGTTCCCCGTTCTTTTATTTTTCTGTTGGAAACTTTGTTTCCTCTCTCATTCCCGTTCAGAATGGACGTGTTCTCTCAGGTGGTAGGACTCAATAAAGCGTCAGTTTTAGTGGGCCTGAATAACGCCAACAATTCCACTGGGTAGCCCCGAGTACATTATATCTCTTCCTGCCATAACGTGAAATATCTCGGTAAACTACACATATAAGGAAGGATAAGCATCGGCAACAAATTTTACCATTAATTGTTTTTATAATAATAATAATCTTGATTTCTACCAATGGAATTAAGTCACTTTGACTTTTTTGGGTTAGACTAGGTCATTTACACATAAAAATGTATGATAATTTATGTAACTATTTATGTATACCTATACCTAAATAAACTTAATTACTTACAGAAAAAAATGGTGTTATTTACGTATTCCAAATTTGGTCAATATGTACCGGGTGTTTTTCCTGTATATAGGGGTTGTAGGAGTTGAGTCACAGCTCCTGTATGTATGTATGTATATGAATCCCTTCATAAACGTTACCTTTCTTACACTCCAAAAGCCCATCAAATCATTCAGTCCGCTTAGCCCCACTTCTGTCTAACATGCTAACACAAGCCTGTTGGATGTCCAAGCCCCTAGCACTCAAAACCTCCTTTACCCCTCTCCTTTTCCCAGGACATCATTTACTGCACCAGGAAAATCACTAGGGATAGGATAGGCCTACACAGGACAATAAAAATGAGGTCAACTAGAAACTACAGTAAAGAAACACTGGTAAATAGGCTACACAATTGTGACTGGACAGAGATAACAAGTTGCACGGACGTAAACGATGCCTGGGAAAAATTCAAAACAATGTTCACTACCATTCTTAATAATATTGCACCAGTTAAAGAGGTTAGGATTAAATGAAGAACTGAACCCTGGATGACTACTGAGATATTAGATAATATGAAAGTCAGAGACAGCTGCTAAAAAGATTTTTAAAGCAAAACCAGACAGGATATTGCAGCCACTAAATGAATGCCAAAGGTGAGGAACAGTGTACAGGGTTATAAAAGGAGCAAAGGCAAAGCACTATTGCCTCAAAAATTGAGAAATATAAGCATAACCCAGAAAGCTCTGGCAACACTAAAACAGTGGGTATAGCCATTAGCCAGTGATAGGTCTAAACATAGTACTCCACTATCGATAATGAGTATGCCACGAAAAATCTAAGGTGGCATTTTGCTTTAATTCTTACTCACGCATCTGGTTGCATCAACACTAGTAAGTAAACTTACCAGGCTGCATCAAATAGCCTTTAAAACAGACTCTGATAAGTTTCAAACATACTATACAAATAAAGGGGTAACCCCAAAACAGTTGTCTACTAGTAAGTGATCTCAGACTTCATTCAACAAGAACTAAGGCAGGTTAAACCATCTAAGAGCACAGCCCTGATAACATCAGTCTAATGTTCCTAACAGATGGTGATTTTGAAACTGTCAATTCACTATTGCTCACATATAATGGAATCTATCAATCACACTAATACCGTACCGGAGGAGGTGCTGGGAGGCCGAGTTACTACTATCTCTTCAAGAAAATTATAATAGTCTGATGTAAGCAACTTTTAGACCATGTTAGATTATACTCAGCTATAATATAATATCTAAAATTTGATTAGGGTCGGTGTATCTCAAGTAGTTAAGTACCTTAATGACAACAGGCATTCTCATAGCTATCAACGGGCTTTAGAAGATCCTTCTCATAACGATACCTCCCTTATTAATCTGATGGATTACCTGACGACACCCTGAAAAGGTCAAAGGAAACCTCATAGGTTATGGTATACGTACGACCTGCAAGAAAGGCATTCGATATCTGTCAAACCACAATATATTATTAAGAACTTCAAGCTATCGGTATAGCCGTTCTGTAGGACTGGTTAAAGTCCTACCTTAGAAACAGGAGACAAATAGTAATAATCAACAAAACGGAATCTGAACCCCTGGAGCATAAATGTGGAGTTCCCCAAGGTCAGATATTCTGGGTCCCTTTTTATTCTTATGTTATGCATGATATGCCTATCAGTGTCAAGTGCAAACATCCTCCTGTATGCACGATGACAAGTGCTCTGTTAGTGAAGGTAAAGACCCACAACGAGATTGCTTAATGTTATAAACACTGGAACTGAGTCCTGCAGCAAAATGGTTTTGTAGATCAACACAACATTTCATTACACCTAGGGTAGAAACTGAAGCCATTTCTTTGGAACGAAACATAAAACTGAGAAGGGTCTAAATATTTTTAATGTTCTGTGTAATGGGGAGTCCAATCACTTGTTTATCAGTTATATATCTGGGAATCCCTTTGAACCATGCATGTCAGGAGAATGATAGGGTCAACAGTGTAGTAAAAGAAAGCGAATGCCGGCTGAAGTTCCTGTATAGACAAGCACAGTGTCTACTACTTGAGGCTGCAGACCCTAATGTCTACGCCCTTATACAATGCCATTTGGATTACTCGCTTGCTCTTCTTGGTACTCTTGCCTTGACAAAACAAAACTGAAGAGATTGACTGCCAAATCACCCAGAACAAACTAGTAAGTATTCATCTGGGGCTGGGACAAGAGAACATGAAGGGCCAGTGAAGTACTGCTGTTGGATATGCTGAATGTTGAAGACTGAGTAAAACAACCTGAAGCTAAAGCATGTTTTATAAAATTGCTCACGAACACAATGTCCTGACATATCTTGTGTCAAGTTTTGTCAAGGTTGGGACCAAAGCATCTAGTATAGTGAGGGAGAGAGCACAACTTTGTGTACCACAGTCAGTGGCCCAGCTTCAATCACCTTTTATTGTACAGCATAAGTAGGAATGGAACAGACTAACGCCCACAATGTCAAGGCCGGTCATAGCTTGAACCAGTTCAGATCAGAGGCCAAAATAGTGTCTGATGATTGAAGAAAACAGGAAAGGGAGGGAATGATTTCTATTTTTTAGCTAAAATACGTGTTAAATTTTACCTATTCTTGTAATGACCATCGTATTGTAGATAGTCGTAATGACCTCGCGGTAGTAGTATATGTCGTAATGAACCCTCGTATTGTAGATAGTCCTTAAATGACCCTACGTGTAGGAGATAGTCTTTTTAGTATGATAATAAGATGTTATCTTCATTATAGAATATAAGAAATATGATAACCATTTTTAAATATTTATTTATTAATTAAGGGTAATAAGGACCCTATGGAAATAGTTACTCTGTTCTGGACTTTTTTGGGTTATCCTTGGTTCTCTAACACATAGGCTGCTATGTATGATATTCTATGTACCTGATAGTGTGTTATACCTGCAATAATTACTTACTTACTTACTTACCCATTCTCCCACACCAAGTCATCATATATTTCCCTTCTCTCTCTAATAATGTCCAATCACCACATCCATAATCCCTCTTCATGCTCTCTGAATAATACTTCTGGTGACTACACCTCCTAAATTTTAAACTCTGAATTCTCTGCT